CTCCTTGTATGTAGAACCACAGAGTTTAAAGCGGCACTGTCATGCCGAACTTACCTTTCCTCAATATCTTCCTCTTCTCCCCCTCTCTCAGGATCTGTTCTTCTTTTCTTCCTGTCTTCTTTAGTTTTCTTTAAAATCATAAGACAAAGTAGGGACTCTTTGCCTTATGGAGGATTCCTCCGCTTGACCAGCGGAGGAGCAAAGTGTGCTTCATTTCCGCTGGTCAGAGAAATTTTCCCATGATCCCTAGCTTTCCTCTGTGTTCCCATGATGCTTCCTGTCACTTTACACAAAACTGCCGAATTGCGTTCTAACTGAATGAGAACAGTATGTTCGTTTGTTTTAGAACGCAATTCGGCATTTTGTTTGTGTCGGAATTTCATTCGAATGAATGAAACTCCGATCCTATTCTTGCTGTGGCTGCATCTTGCAGCCACTTAGTAGATAACTCCCTAATTCCCACGGTATTAGGGAGTTATCTACTAAAAGGCTGAAAGACCTAAATTGGTCTTTCAGCCAACTTTACTAATACTAAGTAAAGATTACTTAGTATTAGTAAATAATATGCCCCTACTCGCTATATCGCGAGTAGGGGCATGTGTAGTAAGCAGTGAGCAGCTTATAGCTGCTCACTGTAAAAAAAAAAAACAACTAATAACCCCCCCATGCCCGCGGGGGTCTAATAAAGATGGGGGAACCTACTGCCTCTCATTCTCGCCCCTGCACCCCTGGTGGGGCCCTAGTAAATACAAGGGGGACCCACCTTTCTTCTCGCCCCCTCAACGTGGGTGGGCCCCGGCTTAAATACACAGGGGGCCCCACTGTCTCGCCCCTACCCCTGAGCGTGGGGGCCCTAATAAATACAAGGGGACCCAATTTTTCTCTCGGCCCCCACCCCCCGCTGCTGGGTGGGTGTGGGGCCCCAGGCTCACTGGGGACCTACTGTCTCTTCCCCCGCCCCCCACCCCTGAGCGGGTGGGTGGGTGGGGGCCCTAATAAAAACACAAGGGGACCTACTGTCCCTCCCCCCTGGGCGCTGGGTGGGTGCGGGGGCCCCATTGGGGCCAAGGGGACCCACTGTCCTTCCCTCGCCCCCACCCCCCGCGCCGTGGGTGGGGCCCCACAGTCACAAGGGGACCTACTGTTCTCTCGCCCCCACCCCTGCGCGTTGGGTGGGTGGGGGCCCTAATAAAACAATAAGGGGGGGGGACCTACTGTCCTCCCCCACTGGCCCCCACCCCAGCGCGTTGGGTGGGTGGGGGCCCTAATAAAACAATAAGGGGGGGGGACCTACTGTCCTCCCCCCCCAGCCCCCACCCATGCGCGGTGGGTGGGGGCCCTAGTAAAACAATAAGGGGGGGGGGCCTACTATCCTCCCCCCCCCAGCCCACACCCCTGAGCGGTGGGTGGGGGCCCTAATAAAACAATAAGGGGGGGGACCTACTGTCCTCCCCCCCCAGCCCCCACCCCTGCACGTTGGGTGAAGCTTACTACACATTATTTACTAATACTAAGTAATCTTTACTTAGTATTAGTAAAGTTGGCTGAAAGACCAATTTAGGTCTTTCAGCCTTTTATTAGATAACTCCCTAATACCGTGGGAATTAGGGAGTTATCTACTAAGTGGCTGCAAGATGCAGCCACAGCAAGAATAAAACAATAAGGGGGGGACCTACTGTCCCCTCCCCCCCTGGCCCCCACCCCTGAGCGGTGGGTGGGGGCCCTAATAAAACAATAAGGGGGGGACCTACTGTCCCCCTCCTGGCCCCCACCCCTGCGCGGTTTCCCCCCCTTATTGTTTTATTAGGGCCCCCACCCACCGCTCAGGGGTGGGGGGCAGGGGGGAGGACAGTAGGTCCCCCCTTATTGTTTTATTAGGGCCCCCACCCACCGCGTGGGGTTGGGGGCCAGGGGGGGAGGACAGTAGGTCCCCCCCCTTATTGTTTTATTAGGGCCCCCACCCACCTCGCAGGGGTGGGGGCCGGGGGGGAGGACAGTAGGTCCCCCCCCCTTTTATTGTTTTATTAGGGCCCCCACCCACCGCGCAGGGGTGGGGGCCGGGGGGAGGACAGTAGGTCCCCCCCCCTTATTGGTTTATAAGGGCCCCCACCCACCGCTCAGGGGTGGGGGCCGGGGGTGAGGACAGTAGGTCCCCCCCCTTATTGTTTTATTAGGGCCACCGCTCAGGGTGGGGGAGGACAATAGGTCCGCCCCCCCCCTATTGTTTAGTAGACATGCCCCTACTCGCGGTATAGCGAGTAGGGGCATTTGGGAGATTTTAATCTCCCTTGTGCTATTATGGGGGTCATATTGACCCCCATAGAGTGAGAGGGGGACCTGGGGGGGCTTATGAAGTGGCGGGGAGCACTGCTCCCTGCCGCTTCTATCTTTACATATTACAAAGAGGGAGCTGCACGCCGGTAGCAACCTCCTTGTAATAACCTGCACGAACAAACATACACTGATACATTGTGTTTGTTTGTTCGGCTGATATTTCTATTCACTCATTCATCTGTCTGAATGAATGAATGAATAGATGAAATTCCCGTTCTCATGTCCAGGTGTTTCACTGGGCATGTGCGGGAATCTCACAGTCTGTCTAGTGTGGGCTGATGACGTGTCCCACAGGGACTTCATCCAACCACACAAAGATGGCGGCGCCCTGAATATAGATCGGGACAGAAAATAAAGATTTAAAAAGAGGTAATCTGGGGGGATTAGGGGTATTTGGGGGTGACTAGTGGGTCAATTGGATGTAGTGGAGGCGGGAGGGGGGTTAAAAAAAAAAACGGGATTCGGCATGACAGTGCCGCTTTATTCAGACTCCGAATTAGAGTATGTTGAATGTCTATCAGAAGATGATGATGAAGATAGTGACCCTGGTCTTATTTCTCTGGATTCCAAATCCATGGGTAGACTCATATTGCTTATTAGAGAGACCCTTACGATTCCAGAAAAAAAACCTTAATCAGACAGATTTTTTCAAAGATGTAAGATCTTCTCAACCTACCTTCAGGGCCAGTGTTCTATAAAAAAAAACCCTACCTTGTAAAAATGTCCTACCCCCATAACTTCCGGTGAAGCTACCGCACTGGAAATGATGGGGGTAGGGAATTTTCACAGAAAGGGAGCAGAAACAGCTGTAGTTTGGCTTACCTGTGTGGGGCCCTGTGGTAGTACTTGACTGCGTTGATGTCAGTAGTGTGCATGCGCAGTAGTGGGGTAGGGTATTTTCACAGGGCAAGTGTGCATGTGCAAGCACCAACTCTACCCCCATCCTTTCTGATTAGTACGTTCTGCTGCTCCATTTGATTGAGGATGATAAGCCGACATGAAGTTGAGCTTGATACCCATCTGAGTACAGAAAGCCCTCCAGAAGCAGAATATGAACGGAGTACGCCTGTCAAATATTATTTCCTTGGGTATACCATCAAAGCGAAAAACTTATTTGGCAAATAGTTTAGCTAATTCGGGAGATGAGGGTAATTTAGACAAAATAATAAAATGATCCATTTTAGTGAATTTGTATATAACAGTTAAGATAACAGTATTTTGTTTGACATAGGTAGACTAACAATAAAGTCTACTGCTATACTAACCCATGGGTTGTTTGGTATTTCTAATGGTTAAAGCAGACCACATGGAAGAATTCATTAGATATAAGAGAATATGTTTTATGAATGCCTAGATGTCCAGCAACTTTACTGTCATGAAAACAGGTAAGTATTACTCTTTGTAGGTCTGGAGGAACAAATTTATTTCCTTCCTGTGTTGGTTCCGGTGCTTTGACCCACGTCTGTATGTTAATACGCAATTGAATTAAGTTAAAAACAGGGACCAACCGAGCTTGTCTAGCATATAATGTTTTAGCTTCTCCTATATAAGATACATTTTTTTGATCTGTTAAAATCGTTATAGGATGTACAGTCCTTTCCAACAGGTGTCGCCATTCTTTCAAAGCCATTATGAACGCTAGCAACTCCCTGTCTCCTATATCATTTCAGTGTTGGACAATATTTTAGAAACAAATCCATAAGGGTGCAGCAGTTGATCCGGACTTTGTCTTTGAGACAGTATACCAGTGTCAGAGGCATCTACCTCTAGTAAAAAAAAGTAGAGTCAGGATGAACCAATATGGGAACAAAGTTTTCTGCTGCTCCTGAATCTATTAATGCCACAGTATGTAGAGTATTCTTCTCCCAGGTTAAGGTGATAGGAGTTAGAAGCCTGTGATCTTTAACCTTCGTTATGGAGGACAAAATAGAAACACCCAAGGCCTGTCCTCCAGAGGAACTTAGGTGCATGAATTTCCTGGCCCCCTAGGGCAATTTAAGCTAAGATGACCTCTTTGCTCACAGTACATACATATTCCTTCCCTTCTCCTATACTGTCTTTCCCCCTCACTTAATCTTGTAACTCCCAATGACATTGGTTCTGGCTAAAGCCATGGAGTCAGATGTTTTAAACGACAGAGCTAATCGAATAGGAGGCCTACGGGGTCTACCTCTGGTGTTTTGTCTGTGCCTCAAATGTTCATCAATGCATAATAGGAATGTCTACTGAGGGAGTCAGGATAACCCACACTAGCTCAAAGGGGAGGCTTCCAGCAAGCAATCATTTACTAGAGATGTCGCGAACTGTCCGCGAACTTCTCGCGAACGGTTCGCCGCGGTGCGGCGAACTCCGGTCAGCTGACACGTCCCGGCCAATCTCCAGCAGACCCTCCCTCCCAGACCCTCCTACTTCCTGGACAGCATCCATGTTGAAACTTGCGCTGAAGTTGAACCATGGATGCTGTCCAGGAAGTAGGAGGGGCTGGGAGGGAGGGTCTGCTGGAGATTGGCCGGGACGTGTCAGCTGACCGGAGTTCGCCGCGAACAGCTCGTGGCGAACCGCGGCGAACCGTTCGTGAGAAGTTCGAGGACAGTTCGTGACATCTCTATCATTTACCTCTACACCGCTCATAGGTGACTTCCCTGGAGGCAGCCGACACGCAGCCTTTATCAAAATGGCTGACGGCAATGACACATATGTTGAACAAGCGATCCCTTCAGCGCAAGTTAGATGCCATATGCCAGCAACTTTGGGAGAGCAGGGAGACTAGGCGACAGCCACCTGCATTACCAATGCCTGCAAAGCAACCTCCGATCAAAGCTCCAGTTAGGCGCTCCCCTCCTAGGTGGGAATACAAGAAGGCTGGTGTAACCACGGTCCACGCTCCGCAGTGCAACCACGTCACTCGGAATTTTGCGACTGTCTCCCCGAGAAGGAGGGAGAAGCTGGTGGACATCGCAGCTGGTTCCTGACAACACCTGGGACTCTGGTGTCACCACTCATTGCGGCACCTTTGAAGGCTCGAATCACCTACTATGACTGTCTGGCATAGGTTGAGGGACCTACTTTCATCGGGCCAACGTGTCTGGGTGGGAAATCTGGCTATTAGCCTAGGCATGTTGCCCTTTCCCTCTGAGTCTACATTGGTCCACTCTTTCACAAAATCCCAGCTTGCCTACCCTGTGCTTCTTCTTTTAAAAATTGTTTAGGTTAGCAAGAAGATCTCAGGCTCTAAACAGCTTGGTGGTCATGTTTTCTCTCTTGTGTAATCAGTTTGTCTAGCTGAATGTAATATGTCCAACTGATGTCCTGACTCGCAATTGACAACACTACTTTGTTTTTCTTTCCTTTATTTTACATAAAATCAGTGCAGAATAATAAGACATCTCATGCTGCATCTTGTTCTAATCTCTCATGCACAGACTCTCATTGAAATGTCTTTACTACGCTTGTACAATTTCATTATGCACTGGCAAAAATAAAGAATGTCAAAAAAGAAAGAGATGAGAAACCAGAAAAAATTATAGGCATATAAAAGAAATAGATAATCACTAAGAAACAATAAAAACTTTAGGCTTTACAGGCAATAAACATTGGCCTATGTTAAGGAATGACCCGATGTTATATTCTATGTTACCAGAGAGACCTAGACTTGTATATAGAGGAGCCCCCAATTTAAGACAAAAATTGGTTCACAATCATAAAAAATAATGCACCTACCTCCTTCTTTCAAAAAGAAGTTTTTTTTAGCTGTAGGCAATGTTTAGCCTGCAGGAATACGAAAAGTACTAAAAGACACAATACAGAATTTTTTGACCCTAAAGGGGATAAGAAATACAAAATACGCGGAATGATCACATGCTTCTCCAAAAGGGTAATATATCTATTAAAATGCTCATGCAATCTTTTTTATGTAGGTAGAACTAAACGTTCCCTACAAGTAAGAATAAATGAACACATACGTAATATCAAAAAAGGCTATGACAAACATAGTGTTTCAGAACATTTTAATTTAGTACATAATATTGATCCCCAATTTTTAGATTTTATGGCGATTCAAAGGTCATATTAAATTGGCGAGGGGAAGACGAAATAAGAAAATTAGGAAAAATCGAAACCAAATGGAGTTTCAACTTAAACACTTTAGCTCCTTTAGGACTGAATGCAGATTTCGAACTATGCCATTTTCTATAATCCTATGCAGAGTCACATATATATTTCTTACACAAAAATGTTTTTTTCCCTTTTTTAATTTTTTTTTTTTTTTTTATATTACACACTTCTCACAAGTCTTCATTTTCTTTTCACTCTGTTAGCCCATTTGTGTCTATCAATATATATGGAAATATGTAATTACATGTTTTATATTAATAAATAAGTATAGGGCTGTATATACATATTTATTTATTTATCTATTTACCTACATAACAGTGGAATTTAGAACCATCTTATATAGAGAGAAAATATATCCAATTCATTTAAATCACTTGATTACTATTATCACCTTCTAGCAATATTTATATATATAATATTATAATATGATATTTGGATATATGAAAATATATTACTTATAATAATTAATATGCAGAAAAACTCAACACTTTTATTATTAATGTTAAGTTATAACATACATTATGTATTTATGCACTTTTTTCTTGTTTTTTATGTAACACTACTATGAGTCTGAAGAAGACTCAGATATGGACTTTTTGAGCATTGATTTGCGGACTATGCTTCCCATAACAACACGATAACACACCGGAAGTCACATAGGACCCGCAGTGGATTATGGATCTTGTAGTGCCGAAAAGCAGGAAGTGACATGACGGTATTCAGCCGCGTCACACTCGACACAGGAGATACCAGATTGGACAATGGAATAACTGGGGGGAAATGGAACATTTAAAAGACTGAAGAATCAGAGGACTCTTTTAAGCTGACTAAAGAAAGCTGCTTTTTATCGGCGAAACGCGTTTTAGCTCAAAGTGGACCTATAGTTTAGACCACTAATATAATTGTACTGTTTTTAATGTCAATATTGTTTTTTATTTTATAGTAATATTTTTATAGTACTCTAATATATATATATATATATATATAATTTATTTTTTTCTGTAATAAATTTTCCCATTTTTATTCATTTAACTGTATCCTGCACAAGTGATTCCAGGGGAGGGGGAATGTCACCCCATAAACTGACACTAGGTTTACATACTTAGAGCCAGTTACCAAAAGGCTCTAAATAAGGTGAGCATTTCAGCTTTTTTCTATATGGATACAATCAGTATCTAGGATGCTACACTTAGTTTGAAATATCCGTGTCTTTTGCATACATTGTGGAGAGGAACATACGCACTTTTCCTTGGAGAGAGGGGTCGTGTGATCTACCCTAAAAGACACAGACGCCTGGAAGTTTAGAGCCTAAAAACTAGAAAAGGCTCAAAAAAATGTGAGTTTATATACATGTGTAACTCACTAAACTTCTTGCCACATTACTTAATATACTGCACAATTATTTGTATTTTTTTTTTCTATCTTTTCTATATGTATATTATACTAAAGAGAAACGTAGAGGGTAAGTGTTTTTGAATATTTTGGAAAATTCACTTACCCTACATTAAATATAGCGCTGCACTCTTAGAAACTGAAAGCTTAGAAGTTGGAAACACCCGTAAAGCCTACAGCTTCTATTGTTTCTTGGTGATTATCTGTGTGTGGTGGGTTTTTAGGAGTACCCACAGAGTGTATACAGCAACTAAAACCCACTTTACAACTTATACGTTTAAACTATATAGCGCCAACTATTCCACACCTTTTGTGTGTATATGAAAGAAATCGAACAAACTAAAAGCATTATATAGGTGCTCACTATAATATGGGCAGCAGTAAATCTATCAAGGATCCATAAAACCTCCTGAAATGGATATAGTCAACAGGAGCGATTGTCAGAAGTGATTGTAGTGCAGATATACAGACATTAGTCTCTTTGGATATTATTAAAAACTGTAAACTTTAAAAAGAATAATAGTGCTATATGTATTAATAAATACATGAGATACCATACAGAGAGATGGCCCACTCACACTTGAAGGAGGAATAAACTTTATTGGTAAATAACTAGTATTAAAAACTACAAATAAAAACAATATCTCTCATCAGGCTCCATCAGAAGTGTGGTGACTTATAAAAAGCTTCTAATTCAATTCAGGTGCACTCTATTTGGATTCATTTTGTAGGCATCTGACCTATTGTTTTTATTTGTAGTTTTTATGCTAGTTATTTACCAATAAAGTTACAAATGTATAATTTACGGGGGGAGTCTCAACTCATATAACCAAGGCTGTAGCACATACATGTATATGACAACACTCAATCAGAACCTCCCCTCCTCCATTGTCACAGCTCTACGCTGAAAGTTCCTAGTTTAAAGGATCACTATAGTGTCAGGAAAACAAACTATACCACCCTCCGGGTCCCCCTCCCTTGGCGCTGAAGGGGTTAAAACCCCTTCAGTTACTTACCTTAATCCAGCGCCGGGCTCCCTCGGCGCTGGTGACCTCTCCTCCCCCGCCGACGTCAGATCCCGAGTGGAGTGGAATGCGCATGCGTGGCAAGAGCTTTCTCAATGCTTTCCCATGGACGTTCTAATCGCTGGATGCGATTTTTGCATCTAGCGTCGCAGATTGCCTCTAGTGGCTGTCAGGAAGACAGCCACTAGAGGTTGGATTAACCCTGCAATGTAAACATAGCAGTTTCTGTGAAACTGCTATGTTTTGTCAGTATATTTATATCGGCAGACATTTTGTGCTAAGATAGAAATTAAAAGTGTCTATTGCCAGAGTCACTCAAAACAGAGCGGACTCCATTGTGGATCTTCAGGCTAAGAAGGACACATCATTTCTTGCTATCTGTAACTAGCCAAACAAGGCTGAGCTTAGGCATGCGTTATATAAGCAAAGGAATGAAGTCTCAGAAAGTAGGGGGGGTTGGAATACAACGCAGAGAGACAAATGTATACATAATTATTATATATACATCTATACACTATGCACTTATTTACTATTATATTAATTATATATAATCAGTATTATGTTAATAATATAGACCATTCATGGATAAATATTCATGAAGAAATATCATATTATTTAATAAATGTTAGTGGAATAGAAAAATAATCCTACACACACAGCTTCACAAAAGGACCAGACACAAGAAAGCCAGACACTAATGATAGATAACACGCAGTAATTAATTTTACTTTCTAAATCTTACAAGGTCCCATTGTAAGAAATAGGCTGAAATTAAGGTTAGGAGGTGTTAATTTAGAAAATACGATTGAAATCATAGACACAAAGTCTGGGTAAGAGAATAAACCAGTGCTTTGAACTGACAGCAAATTTGAGTTATAGTAGCCATTTAGATAAGCCGAAATTACGTCAGAATCGTCATCAAAATTAGTTAACTCTTTCCAGGACAAGAAATTTTGGTGATGTAAGGGCGCCGTCTACTGACCAAAATCTAGA